CATTCTTTTTTATTGATTTCTGTAATGTGAGTGCTTTGATTAATAGTAGCTCCAGAATAAATTTAAGAATACTTTTGAGCAAGGCCATCTTTTATTGGTTTCTGAGTTTAAGTGAAATGCTCTCAGTATTTTCTGGTAAATATGATCAAATATTTTGGTTGAAGTATTGTACCTTTTATTTAATCACTGGAATTAAAAATAAATGTTTAACTTTAGCAAATGTTTTTATCTTTTGACATGATTTCATGATTTACTCTGAAAATTAATGCATTTTTATACTAATAGATTTTATAATATCAAAGTATTCTCTTCTTCTATAATACAACTAACCTGGTTACAGTGTGTTATTGCCTTCTGTGCTACTGAGGTTTTTTTCTTTTTGTACTTGCATTTTTATTGGGCTTCCCAGGTGGCACTAGTGGTAAAGAACTCGCCTGCCAAAGCAGGAGACACAAGAGATGTGGGTTTGATCCCTGGGTTGGGAAGATCCCCTGGAGGAGGGCATGGCAACCCACTCCAGTGTTCTTGCCTGGAGAATCCCATGGACAGAGGAGCCTGGTGGCTGGCGGGGTATACTACATAGCGTTACAGAGACTCGGACACAACTGAAGCAATGTAGCACATCTGCATGTATTTTTCTTATGCATTTTTATATTGATGTTTGAGAGTGGCATTGTCCTATAATTTCTGAGCTGTTTTTGCTAACTTAGTCATAAAATTTATTCTGAAACATCCCTTCTTTCCCTATGTTCTCCAAGAGTTCAGCCATTATCGTTATTATCTATTTTTAATAATTGATAATAATTGGTGTTTTTTTTCGGAAGAAGATTGCACTCTTATCATTTTATTTCTTCTGTTAATTGTTCTTTAATCTCTTTTGTGGTAATGTTTTTACAATCAGTCTTCCCTTAGAAGAACCATTCATTCTATCAGATTCTCTAATACATTTGTATATTGTTGTTATGCATTCTCTTATCTAAAATATTTTTTCTTTGTTCTCCAGCATTATTTCTCTTGATAAATTAGCAAGTGATTTATCCATTTTATGGTTATCTTTAGCTTCAGAGAATTTTTTTGAATTTATTATTGCTGTCATTTAAGAGATTTTAAATATTAATTCAAAAATATTGTTACTCTCTTCTCTTTATATTATTTTCTCATGTCTAAAATGTACGGTTAATTAATTTATTCAGTTTAGTTCAGTTCAGTTGCTCAGTCATGTCCGACTCTGCGACCCGGTGGACTGCAGCACGCCAGGCCTCCCTGTCCAACATTAACTCCTAGAGCTTGCTCAAACTCATGTCCATCGAGTCGGTGATGCCATCCAACCATCTCATCCTGTCGTCCCCTTCTCTTCCTGTTTTCAATCTTCCCCAGCATCAGGGTCTTTTCCAATGAGTCAGTTCTTCACTTCAGGTGGCCAAAATATTGGAGTTTCAGCTTCAGCATCAGTCCTTCCAATCAATATTCAAGACTAATTTCCTTTAGGATGGACTGTTTGGATCTCCTTGTAGTCCAAGAGTCTCTCAAGAGTCTTCTCCAACACCACGGTTCAAAAGCATCAATTCTTCAGCACTCAGCCTTCTTTATAGTTCAACTCTCACATCCATACATGACTACTGGAAAAACCATAGCTTTGACTAGACAGACTTTTGTTGGCAAAGGAGTGTCTCTGCTTTTTAATATGCTATCTAGTTTGGTCATAGCTTTTCTTCCAAGGAGCAAGTGCCTTTTAATTTCATGGCTGCAATCACCATCTGCAGCGATTTTTGGAGCCTAAGAAAATAAAGTCTGTCACTGTTTTCATTGTTTCCCCATCTATTTGCCATGAAGTGATAGGAGTAGATGCCATGATCTTAGTTTTCTGAATGTTGAGCTTGAAACCAGCTTTTTCACTCTCTTCTTTCACTTTCATCAAAAGGCTCTTTAGTTCTTTACTGTCTGCCATAAGGGTGGTGTCATTTGCATATCTGAGTTTATTGATATTTCTCCCAGCAATCTTGATTCCAGCTTGTGCTTCATCCAGCCCAGCATTTCTCAGGATATACTCTGCATGTAAGTTAAATAAGTAGGGTGACAATACAGAGCCTTGTCGTACTCCTTTCCTAATTTGGAACCAGTCTGCTGTTCCATGTCTGGTTCTAAATTTATTATTATTTCCTATTTATTAACACTAGTATTTATAGAGCTATGCAATTTTATTTGAAAACTCCTTGTTTATAGATATTTTTGCAACAGTTTGCAAAATATTATCTTATGGATGTCTGGAAATGTTTTCATTTTATATTCAACCTAAGATTTGTTTAAATGAGAATTTTCTGTGTTTAGTGGTAGAATTTTAGGTGTTTTTACTTTAAAGTTTTATTATTAAATTCTAGATCTAGGGATAATCTTTCCAATTTTTATAATTTATTGAATTTCTGTAATTTTCATGGGCACATAAATGAGAAAAAAGATAGGAGGAAGGAAGAAAAGAAAGAAGAAAAAGGAAAAAAAACAGAAAGAAAGATGTTTTCTTGCTTTTGAGTTACTATTAGCTCAACTGACAAAAATCACTTCTCCTAGGAATCAGATTATGATGTGTCTAACACGGTGTTAATGGTCTCAAAAGACAGTAGAAGAAAGTGTTTCTAATTGGACCTCCGATGTCCACAAGGTAACAGTGACTGAGTCTTCTAAATGACTGTGATATTTTCTCACCAGCGACATAATTTTCCTATTGTATTCCTTCCCCCTCTTGAGCAATGCTTACTGAGATATCTAGTTGCTGATCTATCTCTGCTTTTTGAGAGTATCTAAATCTAGAGAGTACCTACTTCCCTCTCATCCATACATGGATGCATTTAGCAAAGCCCATACTCTAGAAAAAGCCCCTCTCTTCCTTTCTATAAAAAGCTTCCCTTATAGCTCAGTTGGTAAAGAACCTGCCTGCCATGCTGCAGACCTGGGTTTGATTCCTGGGATGGGAATATCTCCTGGAGAAGCAAGTGGCAACCCATTCCAGTATTCTTGCCTGAGAAATTCCATGGACAGAGAAAACTGGGGGGCTACAGTCCTTGGGGTCACAAGAGTCAGACACAACTTAGTGACTAAACCACCAGCTCCCTTCTTACTGAGTTGTCCACAGCTTCTGTGTAGAGTGCACTGCAGAAACAGAATTTTGACTTCTAAACTTTTTGTGTTCTTTTACTGAGCTTTAATAATATAGAGTTTCTGAATACGAATTTTTTCTCATTACGTCAAATAGACCTTTTGTAACTTTATTTTAAATTTTTTCTTAACTTTCTATGTCATGGACTGGAAGAAATACATCTACTATGATTATGTGGTTTTTGTCCATGTATTTCCTCTTTTCTACTTTACAAATGTTAAAGTAATATTATTTAATACAGAGATTTTTTTCATGAACTTTTGTGCATAGTTCAATTCTTCTATGCAAGGCATTTTCAGTCATTGCATTTAAGAATGTTTCTATAGGGAGATGTATCAGGATAATAAACCCTGAAAGTTGTCTGTCTCTAGACAGTGTAGGATAGTAAAGGTGAAGACCTCTCCCTCCTTCTCAGGATATGATTTGCTAATCAAATCAGGACATTATCTGATTTTCAATTCCAGATTGAATTTAGGGTTTCTCTCTGCAGAGGGTATTATGGGCAGGTCACCAGGAATCCTAAGTAGTTTCCTACTTTTGGGATTCATCTCCTGTAATGCACTCTGCTTCATGGGCTAGTGCCGTCTGAATTTTCTTGGTATTGTTCAGGTTGTGATTTGCTCCCAGTAAGTGTTTCCTGCCTCAGTCCGTAATTTGGAATATTTGGAAATGTTGAGAAAGGCAGTGAACTCCCATCCTGTCTGTCAATCATCTAATTCACAGCTTCCTATGGTTTAACTGATTAATGAAATTGAGATGAAATATAACATGGGATCTCAGGCTTTTTGTTAACATGCTTGTCCACAGGATGGCTGTGTGCTTGATTCTGCTTTTTCCTGAGTGGATAGAACATGGTGTTCAAGCCCAGGTATGACTTCTTGTGTTAAACCTGGATTCTTTCAGATAGTGGGAAATAAGGCTTCATTTCTGGGTAAATGAGTTTGATCTGTGGCACCAAATTCTGCACTGGATTTGTACGCTTGCAAGAGGGTACAGCTGGGGATTCACTTATATTTAAAACAAAAATTAAGTAAGAATAAATGGATATGATCCATAGTTACTGGATTCCTATGTTACTTTCCTAGGTGGTTAGAGACCGTGTGTAGAAAGGAGGAATACTGATCCATAAAGTCTGAATATGTATGAGGATTCGTTCAATTGTTCTTTTCTCCCCCTCTTTCTTTTCAGCACATTTTCTCCAAAGAGATAGAGAACATCTTTAAATTATTCATTGCAATACTAAACCAGCTTAGTTACAGAAAACAGCAAGAGTAACAGTACCTCTTAAGAGAAACCAGCAAAAATTTTTGCACTGGTGTCTTTATCCTACTGTTGCTAGAGGTAATTTACAACATTGACTAACACGTTTCTTTATTGCTCTTTTCTATTTTAACAGCAAGGTATTTGAAAAAAGCGCTCCTCAGAATGTACAAAAGCAATATCAAAGATCTTTTTAGATGCCTTCTCTCTAAGTCGCAACCCCATTGACTGTAGCCCGCCAGGCTCCTCCGTCCATGGGATTTCCTACACAAGAATACTGGCATGGGTTGTCATTTCCTTCTCCAAGGGATTTTCACAACTAGGGATAGAATCCATGTCTCAAGCAGATTCTTTACTGTTGATCCACTGGGGAAACCCTCTGAGAAATATGATTTAGAAGGTTATTTGATCATTTCAGATCATAAAGTTGATCATCTTTCAAAAGCTACTGATACAATCAAGGAAATATATTTTGTATAATTTTTTGTTTGTAACTCACAAATATCTTCTACATCTTCTGCTGTTGAGAAATAAGAGAGAACTGTCAGTTGCTTGCTGAACAATGTCGAGTTAGAAATTGATGTTCAGTCTAGAAACACTTCTTTCCAACTCCTTTCAGAGCTTCTCTCACATCGTGGTTTCGTAGACTATAAATGAGGGGATTTAACATGGGGATCATAATGCCATAAAACACAGAAGCCATTTTTTCTTGCTCTTGAGATTCTATGGTGCGATGGTGCAGGTACATGTAAGAGAGTGTCCCATAGAAAATGGTGATAGCTGTCAGGTGGGAGGCGCACGTTGAGAAGGCTTTCTTCCTCCCTGCAGCAGAAGAGATCTTCAGGATGGCGATCAGGATAAACATGTAGGAAAAGATGACAACTGACACGGTTAATGTCAAGTTAAACCCCACAAAGACTGTTAGGAGCATGATGTTCAAGTAAATACTAGAGCAAGAGAGGGTCAGAATTGGGGGCGCATCACAGAAAAAGTGATTAATTTTATTGGATTTGCAGAAGTTCAATGAGAAAGTAAAACTTGTGTTTACAGAAGCATTTAGGAAACCCATGAAGTATGAACCAGTTAAGAGTTGGCTGCAGACTCTCTGGGACATGACAGTTCCATAGCGAAGTGGGTTACAGATGGCCACATAACGGTCCACTGCCATAGCAGCCAGGATGTAGCAATCACTTGTTGCAAAAGCCCCATAGACTAGTAATTGCACCATGCATCCTATGAATGAGATGGATTGCCCTGTGTCTACAAAGTTTTGGAGCATTTTTGGAGTGATTGCAGAGGTGTAGCAGAGATCAACAAATGCCAAGTTTTGGAGGAAAAAGTACATGGGGGTGTGAAGGGAAGAGTCAATCTTGATGAGGAGGATCATGCCAATGTTACCCACCAGGGTGACCAGATAGATCACTAGAAATACTATGAAGAGGACACGCCAATACTTGTGTTGACCAGCGAATCCCAGGAGAATGAATTCAGTCACTTTAGTTCCATTGTTTTGTTCCATGACCAACAAATTTAAATATCAGCTGAAAAGGTGCAAAGAGGTCAGAGAAAGGTAGGAGGATTGTGATACTTTAACTAACACTATATTTAATTTCAGAGCTTCCCTGGTGGCACAGACAGTAAAGAATCCACCTGCCAATGCAGGAAACCCTGGTTCAATTCCCTGGAGAAGGGAATGCCTACCCACTCCAGGATTCTTGCCTGGAGAATCCCATGAACAGAGGAGCCTGGTGGGCTAGAGTCCATGAGTTGCTAAGTGTTGATATGACTGAATGACTAAGCACTCACATATTTCACTTCATAGTGAGAGGGATCAGAGAATATTTTCCATGATTTAACTGAATTAGACTTTAAAGGCTGAACCTCGGCACCTAACTTAGACATTTCCATTGATAGTTTGGGGAAATTGCCAAGGACTAGTAGCTGTGTTCTCAATAGGCAAACTGACAGTACTTCATACATACATCAGTTTGGAAACACATAAGAACATTGTTTTATTTAACTAAGCTTTCTTCTATATTCCCTATATTTTAATCAGAAATACAAATTTGCCTAAATACTAATCATTATATTTGAAATTTGACATACCCATGGGGTTCTATATTATCTTGTTCCCGTCTACCTCCATATTTTCATTTTTTTCTTTTTCTTCCTTGTAGATCTTCCCTGCCATGATGGCTTCTGGAATTGTAGAGCCCTTTGTGGAACTGTTTATCAAGGTATTTACAGTAAAGCATAATTTTCTTTATAACATTTCCTATTTGTTGTGGCCTCGTGTTTGTAAAAGTCAATAAATAGGTCTCAGCATTGTTAAAATTCTGTAATAGTTTTAAATGCTCCATCCAATTTCAGTCATTGTCTCATTATACAGTAGAAACAGAGAGTCCAAGGACTAGTGCTGGTCCATGGACCACACATTGAGTAGCCCTGCTCCATGGTGTCCATCCGTCCTAATTTACCCATGTGCTTCCCTAGTGATGGACAGCAGACTGCCTACAACCTGCCTCCACTATGGTTAACTCAGTGAGAAATTTTTGTAGGGTGTAATCCTAGGGACAAAATTTTTGTGTCTGAAGGCATGCACATATTTCATCTGACCAAGTTCTTCCAGATCATTTTACATAATGGATGCACCAGTGTACCCTCTTGCTAATTGTATACGTGGGTTCCCACATCCTCACTTCTGAGTGAGCATTGATATTTTCCTGATTTTTTTGGTGGAAAATAGGTGTAAAGTGATGTCGTATCTTTCCCTTTTCCCCTTTAATTACAAGTAGATTTGATCATTATCTAATAGTCTTAGAATTTGGGGATTTTATTATTTTGTAAATTGCTTGTTAATTTCTTTTTAAAAAATGTTTCTTCTGAATTGATTTCACATGTTCTTTATTTATCCAAGATTTAAATCTCCTCTCGGTTGACTTGGTAAATATTTTCTCACATTCTGTCATCTTTGATGTCCTTCACAGACCAGAGAACCTTACATTTAAAATAACTATCATTTTTTTTTTTGCCTTATGGTTTGCTCTTTTAAAAAATAATTGAAGGAAGTTGTTTTCTTTCCTAATTCATATCTCCAGTGGAGTAAAAAGAAATTATCATATTTTTCCATTTAAACTTGGTTGCTGGCATATGGTGATTGTTGCATCATGACATTTTATATCAGAAAAAAAATTTTAAATGCTATTTGTGCTTTCCAATATATTTTAAAAAAATAAAGCAGACTAACAGTATAGAAAGCAACTGTAGTCACTGTGTGTGTGCATTTGTGTGTGTCTGTGTGTGGGTGAGTTGTATAAAATAATTAATTATTTTAATCATTATGTGATTTGACTTGACATTTAAAAATCTATGCACAAACACTAGACCCAGTTATGTTACAGGATTTCTACCAAACTTTATAAAACTAATAATTTTAATATATACAATTTTTTCCCGTGAGTCTCAAAAAAAAAAATCGGCTAGTCATTTCATAAGGCTAATATAACCTTGACATGCATTTAAGTAACTTTTGAGGAAAAAAAATTAGAAGCAACTTCATTTATGAGTGTAGAAACAAACAGCTTTAAAAATATACTTTCAATAACCAAATCCACCCATACACTGAACAGACAATTGCTAAAGTCTAAAGAAGGTTCCTGATCGTTGAGGAAGTCTTTCTTATCTCTCCTTGCTGTTCTTTGGAAAGCTGCATGCACATGGGTATATCTTTCCTTTTCTCCTTTGCATTTGGTTTCTCTTCTTTTCACAGCTATTTGTAAGGCCTCCTCAGACAGCCATTTTGCCTTATTGCATTTATTTTTCTTGGGGATGGTCTTGCTCCCTGTCTCCTGTACAATGTCATGAACCTCTGTCCATAGTTCATCAGGCTCTCTGTCTATCAGATCTAGACCCTTAAACCTACTTGCCACTTCCACTGTGTAATCATAACGGATTTGATTTAGATCATATCTGAATGAGTTAGTGGTTTTCCCTATTTTCTTCAACTAAAGTCTGAATTTGGCAATAAGGAGTTCATGATCTGAGCCACAGTCAGCTCCTGGTCTTGTTTTCACTGACTGTATAGAGCTTCTCCATCTTTGGCTGCAAAGAATATAATCAATCTGATTTCGGTGTTGACCATCTGGTGACATCCATGCGTAGAGTCCTCTCTTGTATTGTTGGAAGAGGGTGTTTACTGTGACGAGTGCATTCTCTTGGCAAAACTGTATTAGCCTTTGCCCTGCTTCATTCTAGTACTCCAAGGCCAAACTTGCCTGTCACTCCAGGAGTTTCTTAACTTCCTACTTTTGCATTCCAGTCCCCTATAATGAAAAGGATATCTTTTTTGGGTGTTAGTTCTAGAAGTTCTTGTAGGTCTTCATAGAACCTTTCAGCTTCAGTTTCTTCAGCATTATCGGCCGGGGCATGGACTTGGATTACCGTGATATTGAATGGTTTGCCTCGGAAACGAATAGAGATCATTCTGTTGTTTATGAGGTTGCACCCAGTACTGAATTTCAGACTCTTTTGTTGACTATGATGGCTACTCCATTTCTTCTAAGAGATTCTTGCCCACAGTAGTAGATATAATGGTCATTTGAGTTAAATTCACCCTCTCCATTCCATTTTAGTTCACTGATTCCTAGAATGTCGACATTCACTCTTGCCATCTCCTGTTTGATCACTTCCAATTTCCCTTGATTCATGGACCTAACATTCCAGGTTCCTATGCAATATTACTCTTTACAGCATCAGACCTTGCTTCCATCACCAGTTACATCCACAACTGGGTGTTGTTTTTGCTTTGGCTCCGTCTCTTCATTCTTTCTGGAGTTATTTCTCCACTGATCTCCAGTAGCATATTGGGCACCTACTGACCTGGGGGGTTTATCTTTCAGTGTCCTATCTTTTTGCCTTTTCATACTGTTTATGGGGTTCTCAAGGCAATAATACTGAAGTGGTTTGCCATTACTTTCTCCAGTGGACCACATTTTGTCAGACCTCTCCACCATGACCCGTCTGTCTTGGGTGGCCCTACACGGCATGGCTCATAGTTTCATTGAGTTAGACAAGGCTGTGGTCAATGTGATTAGATTGGTTAGTTTTCTGTGACTGTGGCTTTCAGTCTGTCTGCCCTCTTATGGAGAAGGATAAGAGGCTTATGAAAGCTTCCTGATGGGATAGACTGACTGAAGGGGATACTGGGCTTTTTTCTGATGTGCGGAGCCATGCTTAGTAAGTCTTTAATCCATTTTACACAAAGATGGGCTCAATAAAGGACAGAAATGGTATGGACCTAATAGAAGCAGAAGATATTAAGAAGAGGTGGCAAGAATACACAGAAAAACTGCACAAAAAAGATCTTCACGACCCAGATAATCATGATGGTGTGCTCACTTACCTAGAACCAGACATCCTGGAATGTGAAGTCAAGTGGGCCTTAGGAAGCATCACTATGAACAAAGCTAGTGGAGGTGATGGAATCCAGTTGAGCTATTTCAAATCCTCAAAGATGATGCTGTGAAAGTGCTATACTCAATAAGCCAGCAAATTTGGAAAACTCAGCAGTGGCCACAGGACTGGAAAAGGTCAATTTTCATTCCAATCCCAAAGAAAGGCAATCCCAAAGAATGCTCAAACTACCACACAATTGCACTCATCTCACACACTAGTACAGTGATGCTTAAAATTCTCCAAGAGAGGCTTCAGCAATACATGAACCATGAACTTCCAGATGTTCAAGCTGGTTTTAGAAAAGGCAAAGGAACCAGAGATCAAATTGCCAACATCCACTGGATCATCGAAAAAGCAAGAGAGTTCCAGAAAAACATCGATTTCTGCTTTATTGACTATGCCAAAGCCTTTGACTGTGTGGGTCACAATAAACTGTGGAAAATTCTGAAAGAGATGGGAATACCAGACCACCTGATCTGCCTCTTGAGAAATCTGTATGCAGGTCAGGAAGCAACAGTTAGAACTGGACATGGAACAACAGACTGGCTCCAAATAGGAAAAGGAGTACGTCAAGGCTGTATATTGTTACCCTGCCTATTTAACTTATATGCAGAGTACATCATGAGAAATGCTGGGCTGGAGGAAGCACAAGCTGGAATCAAGATTGCCAGGAGAAATGTCAATAACCTCAGATATGCAGAAGACACCACCCTTATGGCAGAAAGTGAAAAAGAACTATGGAGCCTCTGGATGAAAGTGAAAGAGGAGAGTGAAAAAGTTGGCTGAAAGCTCACATTCAGAAAACTAAGATCACGGCATCTGGTCCCATCACTTCATGGTAAATAGATGGGGAAATGGTGGAAACAGTGGCTGACTCTATTTTTCTGGGCTCCCAAATCACTGCAGATGGTGATTTCCACCATGAAATTAAAAGATGCTTACTCCTTGGAAGGAAAATTATGACTGACCTAGACAGCACATTAAAAAGCAGAGACATTACTTTGTCCACAAAGGTCTGTCTAGTCAAGGCTATGGTTTTTCCAGTGGTCCTGTATGGATGTGAGA